CGTCTTCTTCTAGTGAAACGGATCTTCGAATCTCTTCACCCAACGCTTTCACTTGAAATGGTAATGAGTTAAACAAGAGTGGCAAAGTACAGATTTGGGCTGTTTGCCCTCCTCAAAGTTGCTGCCTCACATTTTTCCGCGTCAGTGACGCCATTCTCTCAGCATCTGCTCAAACACGATGTTCCGTTTGACTTGATTTTCGTCACAATTTGCTGTTGCGAAGCAGCGCCCGTTTGCGTCGCCACGTCAAGAGAGCATTCGACGAGACGTGAATGTGATCCACTGCATGTTTTTTATTAAAATCCGCCAAGAGTTGGCAAAGATTGAGCAAAGTTGGGGCAACCAACCGGCACGCAATAACTGGCCGGTCACGCATGGATGAACGGAGCTGGCAAAAGAGACCATACAGAAAGAGAAAATTAAACATTTTTATTTGGCTCAACCACTTTATGAGAATATGCCATCTACATTCGCAAGATTGACTTGCCAACAATCCCTTCATAGATTGAGGCTGGAGCACATTTCATCTCGTCAGGGGGCAACTTTTCGATACAAAAAAGATAATGTTGAAAACTAGGATTTTTCATCGCATTTGATATTTCACAATTTACCAAAAATATTAAATACAGAATGTCAGAAACGTCTCTTCTTTCTCTTCCAATTTTTGGAAAATTCAACTACCGGCCCTTTGTTTTGTTAATCGAAAGAGAGCGAATACATTTCATATCACTCATTTATCCCACTTTTAAAAGATTATATTTCATTTGACATTTTGCAGTTTCCGCATAATATACAAAGCACCGCAGCACAGCCGGCATTCAAAGCTGTCTTCTGGCCATTTATAATCAAATGTCAATTACTCATCTTCTAATCTTATGCCACATTTGTCCATAGCAACGCAGTAACTTGAAGCCAAATCTCATCCATGAACCATTTCATAAACCGACTTGCTTCAAGCTGTTCACTCGATCTGAGCAAACATTCCCATTCCTCAACTCTGCCTGATTCTCTTCGTGTCCTCAACTTGTCTGCTCCAATACAGAATGCCTCATAATCCCAATCTCCATTCTTGTCGTCAAGTTGTCAAGCACTTGTCATGCTCTCTTCACAATTTGTGGGATTGCCAACTCTGCTTGTGCCCATGCGGCCTGGCGTGTCTTTTTGTTTCGGTAACTTCTTTCAGGTTACCTTTTTTCTAGGTTTCGTCCATCATATGATGGAC